CTACCATAAGATATAATGAAATGGGAACGGGTGGTACGCCTACCACAAGATATAATGAAATGGAAGCGGGTGGTATGCCTACTACAAGATATAATGAAATGGGAGCGGGTGCTATGCTTACCACGAGATAAATGAAATGCGAGCGGGTGGCACGCCTGCCACGAGATAATGGAAATGGGATCGGGTTGAACGCCTGCAACAAGATGTGAAAAGAAAGTGAAATCTGCCTTTGTTTTCCTTATTCTTGTCAGTGGTTGGATTTTAATTCTTTTATAGTTCTCTTGATATTCTGTTTTACCTATTTTTCCCGAAGCATGTTTCCCCTTCCCACCTTTATTTGTTTATTCTGCTTTACTTTCCGCTGTATATTATATCACTGCACAGGTTTATTTGGTAGTCTGGTCCTAGCCTCGTCACTACTTCGCCGAGGTTAGGCTAGACACTTACCAGCACATGGGGTTGGTTGTGTTAATACTACACTCTGCACTAATGTGCAGATCCCAGAGCAGCTTTTGGACCGTAGTGTGGAGGCTACCTTCAGTACACGCGGAGACCCAAGGTAGACCTGCAGGCGTCCGCCGGCCCTAGCTTCTCCTCTATTCTTATTTCCTGTTTCCTTTTCCTTTTATTCAGAAACAGTGTATTGTCATTTTCTTTAGACTTTATATGTAGTAATCTCTTAGACAGTCTATGACACTGTGACACCAGGTTTTGGGTGGTTGAGACTTAAGTAATTGTAATAGACGCAGATTTCAGATGTTTAATTGTTATCTTCCGCTTATTATTTAAAGTTCCGCAGTTTTTTCTATTATCGCCTTATATTTGTTAAAAGGAAGTAATTTGATAATGAAGTAAGTAGTTAAGGATTGGCTTGCCTAGCTCTCATTAGTAGGCGCCATCACGACTCCCGAGGGTGGGAAATTCGGGTCGTGACACATCTCTTTTTTCTTTTCTTTTTTTTTTCTTTTGGGGGGTTATAGACCATGGTATTTTTTTAAAAAAATAGGATAAAGGCTCAAAGATAGGTTCTAAGAGGTAAAAAAAATTTCTTGGAGAGAATAAACTAAAAGAGGCTAAAAGGTGTATCAAAGAAAGCCTAATTTCAGCTTTCAAGAATTAGTGTCATCCATTATTTCGCCTAGAAGAGCATTTAGAGCAAGTTCTAGAAATATTATTGAGTATACCTTCTTGTGATAATAACTTTTCTCAATTCCTTTGATCTCGCGAGTTGGAGACGCTAGTTTTTGCCTTCACAAAATTAAAGTCATAGGCATGGAATTGATATGATAATGAAAAAAAGACTTAATATTTGAGCACAATAGAAAAAATTTATTTTACTAATTAAAAACCTACAACGACACAATTAGTTAAGAAGAAAAAATTTATTATAACATTATAGAAAAAAAGTATATATATACATGAAGTACTAAAGAAATTTTTGAAAAAATAAATTAAAAATCTTTTTAGCTTTCAAATTTACAGTCACAGAAGAAAGCTTGAAAGAAACTGTGACCACACATATTCTATGTGTAATAGACTGGACTAGCTTTTAGACCTTATCAGTCATGGGGTCCGGGTTTTGATATAAACTAGAAAATTTACCTGAGCCAATAATTAATTTACACAATTAGATGGTTAACTAACCAGTAACTTAGGCATACCGACCACCATGGAATTAATCCTATATAGATGACTCTGTTTTTGTAGAGGCCTGCATGGGATGTCCCGGTTGTACAATAATCTGGATATTAACTAGATCAATTGGTTAAACATTTATTCATACAAATTATATTGGGCTCATGAAGCTCCATTGCTTCACCCTTAATGGCTATGGGTAAGAAAATTGTAGTTCTGAGTTTAATGTCGTCAGCTCGACTTATTAACAACAGAATGTATTAGGCTATCAAGGTTACCGATGGTTGTTGCTCAAAATGTCCTCCAAAATACAACTTTAACCTGTGACCATTTACCTTAAATTTGTCTCCTCCATTGATTTGTTGAATTTCAATTGCCCCATATGGAGTAACATCTGTACATTATAAGGACTTGTCCACCTGGATTTTAATTTTCCTGGAAATAGCCTCAGCCTGCTATTGTAAAGAAGTACTTGATCTCCAATTTTGAAACTTTTTTGTTGGATCAAATTGTCATGCCATATTTTTGTTTTTTCTTTGAATATTTTGGCATTTTCATAAGCTTCCAATCTCAGTTCTTCCAATTCATTAACCTAAAAAAAATTCTTTTTACCAGCAGAGGTTAATTCAAAGTTTAATGCTTTCAGTGCCCCAAAAACTTTGTGTTCTAATTCAACTGGCAAATGGCAAGACTTTCCAAAGACTAATTTATATGGGGATGTTCCAATTGGCATTTTGAACGTCGTTCGGTATGCCCATAATGCATCATCTAATTTTAAAGAACAGTTTCTTGAAATTCCAACCGTCTTTTCAAGAATTCTTTTTAACTCGCGATTGGAAACTTCAACTTGCCCCTGTGTTTGAGCATGATATGATGTTCCAGTTTTATGAGTCACACCATATTTTGATAGCAAAGCAGAAAATTGCCTATTCATGAAATGAGTTCCTTGATCACTAATGATGACTCGAGGTGTGCCAAATCTAGTAAAAATATTTTTTCTAAGAAAATTACACAATGTATGAGCATCATTCTTCTTTGTGGGGATGGCCTCAACCCATCTTGATACATAATTCACAGCCACAAGGATATATTCAAATGAATGAGAAGAAGAAAAATGACCCATGAAATCTATTCCCCAAATATCAAATATTTCACATACCTGTATTGATTGAAATAACATCTCATCTCTTTTAGTAATATTACCTGTTTTCTAACACCTGTCACATTGTGTGACATATGCTCGGGCATCTTTGAAGAGTGTTGGTCAGAAAAATTCGGCCTCCAATACTTTAAATGTCGTACAGTTTGCAGCATAATGACCTCCAATTGCTCCATCATGGCAGTGATACAAAATTTTGGTCATCTCTTCTTCAGGTACACACCTCTTGATGATATTATCTGCACAAATTTTGAACAAGTAAGGTTCATTCCACAAATAATACTTAGCATCAGAAATAAGATTTTTTCTTTACTGGTAAGAGAGATCTTGGGGTGTCCATCTTCCAACCAAGTAGTTAGTAATATCTGCGAACCAGGGTGGTTGAGTCACAATAGAGTCAACTGAAAAAATGTGTTCATCAGGAAATTCTTCTTTTATCTCGCTGAACTCAAGGGGAGAGTCTTCTAGTCTAGACAAATGGTCAGCTACCTGATTCTCTGTTCCTTTTTTATCTTTTATCTCAAGGTCAAATTCTTGCAGAAGTAAAATCCATCTTAACAACCTAGGTCGAGCATCTTTTTTGGCTAAGAGGTATTTTAAAGTTGCATGGTCAGTAAAAACAGTCACCTTTGTTCCTATCAAATAATAACGAAATTTATCAAGTGCAAATACTACTGCCAGTAACTCTTTTTCTGTTGTGGCATAATTCAGTTGAGCCTCACTTAGTATTCTACTGGCATAGTAAATAGGACGAAAAATCTTATCCTTTCTTTGGCCTAAAATAGCTCCAACTGCCGCATCACTAGCATCACACATAACCTCAAAAGGTTGACTCCAATCAGGGGACACAACTACAGGGGCAGTTGGTAATTTCTCCTTAAGGGTGTTAAAAGCTATCATACAATCACCTGAAAAATCAAACTTAACATCTTTCATCAAGAGGTTAGTCAGAGGTTTTGAAATCTTTGAAAAATCCTTTATGAACCGTCTGTAAAAACCTACATGACCTAGAAAACTTCTAATGCCTTTAACAGTTGTGGGAGGGGGTAATCCTGCTATAAGATTAATTTTAGCCTTATCAACTTCTATCCCATTAGTAGTGATTTTATGTCCTAAAACAATTCCCTCTGTAACCATAAAATGACATTTTTCCCAATTCAGAATCAAGTTTGTCTCCTCACATCTCTTAAGAACTAAAGTCAAGTAGTAAAGACAATCTTCAAATGTTTTGCCAAAGAGTGTGAAATCATCCATAAAAATTTCAAGAAATTTTTCAGTCATGTCAGAAAAAATTGCTGACATGCAACGCTGGAATGTAGCAGGGGCATTGCACAGACCAAATGGCATTCTCCTATAAGCATATGTTCCATGAGGACATGTGAAAGTTGTCTTATCCTGATCTTCGGGTGCAATTGGTATTTGGTTGTACCCTGAATAGCCATCAAGAAAACAGTAAAAACCATATCATGCAATTCTTTCTAACATTTGATCAATAAATGGTAAAGGAAAATGATCTTTTCTGGTAGCATCATTGAGATGTCTATAATCAATACAGACTCTCCATCCTGTAACAGTCCTCGTAGGTATTAGTTCATTATTTTCATTCTTTATAACTGTCATACTTTCTTTCTTTGGTACTACCTGAACTGGACTTGCCCAAGGGCTATCTGAAATTGGTTAAATAATACCTGCCGCTAGAAGCTTAACAATCTCCCTTTTCACCACTTCCTGCACTACATGATTCAATCTCCTTTGGGGTTGGATTATTGGCTTGTATCTATCTTCCATGAGGATTCTATGCATACAAATTGCTGGACTAATCCCTTTGATATCCTCTACAGTCCACCCTAAGGCTCCTTTGTGTGATTTTAAGACTTGAATTAGTCTTTCTTCTTGTTCTGCAGTCAAAGAAGATGAAATAACTACTGGAAATAATTCTTTCTCAAGATAAACATATTTTAAATGAGAAGGAAGAACTTTGAGTTAAAGTTTTGGTTGAACTTCTTCTGATTGCATCTCCTTATCCTTAGAATCCTTTTCCAGTATTTCAGCTTCTCTCCTAATTATGGGATCATCATCTTGTGCGGTGCCTGATTTGGTCAAACATCTTTCCATTGAGTCTGAAATTAATTGATCATCTTTGAATTCATCTGCAAGATCACTAATCATGTCAATAGAAAAGCATGAAGATGATGCCTCATCTCCTGAAAATCTTAGTATCTTTTGCATATCAAAAATGGTTCTTTCTTCATCAACTCTCAAGATTAGTTGCCCTTGATGAACATCTATGATTGCTCTTCCTGTAGCAAGAAATGGTCTACCCAAAATTATTGGTTCATCAGGACATTCTTTCATTTCAAGCACTATAAAATTTACAGGGAACAAAAACTTATCTACTCTTACAAGCACATTTTCAATTATTTCCTTAGGTTTCTTAGTACTTTGATCTGCAAACTGAAGACAAACACATATGTCCTTCATTTCACCAAGATCCAATTTTCTAAAGATAGAAAATGGTATCAAATTTATTGAAGCTCCAGAATCACAAAGTGCTTTTTCAAAATATACTCCTCCTAGAGTGCATGGAATGGTAATACTGCCAGGATCACCAAGTTTTTGTGGTAGTTTATTTTGAAGTATAGCACTGCATTTTTCAGTAAGCATTACCACAAAAACTTCTTCCAATTTCCTTTTACTTGACAAAATTTCTTTTAAAAATTTAGCATATGAAGACATTTGCAACAAAGCATCAGTAAAAGAAATATTAAGATGAATCTATTTTAAGATTTCCCAAAACTTTGCAAATTGACCATCAAGCTTTTCTCATTTCATTTTTTGTGGAAAAGGAATTGTCACAGGTGGGGTAGCCATTTTTCCAAAAAATTTTTCTTCCTTATTCTTTATTTCTTTTTCCTTTGATGGTTCAGATGGTTTTTTAATATTCTTACCCTTGTCCACCTGTTGTTATATCTGGTTCTTTTCTTGTTTGTCTGCATAAGGTTCATCTAGTTCCTTACCTAACCATAAAGTGATGGCCTTAAGGTTCTCCTTTGGATTTTTCTCTGTATTGCTTGGTAAGGGACCCTAAATCTTTTCTGACACAAGAACTGCCAATTGGCTTAATTGAATTTCCAGATTTTTGAGGGATGAATTTTGGCATTCCATCTTTTCATCAGTGACCTTAATATACTTGTACAAAAGGTCATCAAGACTTGGATGAGCTTGTTGGGGCCTCTACTGGTATGACCCTGCTTGTTGATATGGGCCTGCTTGCTGATAAGGTCTGTAACTCAGTTGCCCGCGATTTTGACTCTGGTATCCCGACGGACCTTGTACCTGTTGTTTCTGGAAGCTTTGAGAGTTTTCTGCACCATTTGGGTTACTCCACTAAAATCATGGATGCTTCTGTTCCATTGGACTCCCCAAAAGGATATGGCTTGTAACCGATGACATTAACTTGTTCATCCATTTGATTGGTTGCTTGACATTCATGGTTCTGGTGGTTTCCTCCGCACATATCACAAGCCTCATATTGTTTGATTGTTGTGTATTCACCTGAAAAGATTCAAACTTTTGTTTCAAATAAACAATCTGTTATGTTAGTGTTTTAAAGCATCAACCTGATTTACTGTAGCATCATTTTTAATGATTACACACTCAGATGGCCATTGGATAGCGTTCTCAGAAATTTCATTCAATAGTTGCAATGCTTTCTCTGTGGTTTTCCCCATTACAGAACCTCCTGCAGCTGCATCTATTACATTTCTAGCAGAGGGTTTTAGCCCGTGATAAAAAATGTACAATTGCATATGTTCAGGAATGTCATGGTGTGGGCATTTTCTTAACATTGCTTTTAATCTTTCCCAAGCTTGATAAACTGACTCCGTGTCAATCTGCAAGAAATTAGATATGTCTTGTCTTAACTTTGTTGTTTTAGCAGGGGAAAAATATTTGTTTAAAAACTTCTGAGTCATCTGGTCCCATGTCGTAATGGATCATTGAGGCAAACTTGGCAACCAAGTCTTGGCATATCCTTTTAAAGAAAAAGGAAATAGCCTTAACTTGATAGCTTCAGGAGGTACTCCATTATAATTAGCAGTTTCTACAAGTTCTAGAAAATCAATTAAATGACTATGTGGGTCTTCACTTGTATCACCAGTGAAGATACAAGATTGTTGAATTGTCTGAATCAGGCCGGTCCTGATTTCAAAGTTGTTGGCTGCCACTGGGGACTTCCTGACACTAGATTCACAGTTGAAGCGATCAGGTCTAGCATAATCCCTAAGGATTCTGTTTGCTGGCCTTGGCGCCACTTCATCAAATTGCTCCTCTACATGGACCGGTGGTGGGATCCCAAGTGGGTTAATGTCCTCTGCTTCCTAGTTTTCCATTTCTTTACAAGATGCTCCTTGGGAAGACGATGTTTGTTCTTTCCTGTGCAATTGAATAAATCTTTCAATTTCAGGATCGTAACTGATCAACTCTTTTGTAGAAGAGCGGGTCATAAACTACTTAAAATTTTTAAGTAAAGAAAGTACAAGAAAAATATAAGTATATAAAAATTACAAAAAATGATAAAAATAGTAGGTGCTAAGCAAAAATAATTATACGATAATTTTATTATCTATAGATAATAATAATATTATACTCAAACTTATAATAAAATAGGCATAAAGTAAAACAAAATGACGCAACAGTGAACCACGACAAGAAACAATACTATAATACTATTATATATGGACAAAAGTAATTAATGATAATACATATAGTTGGAATTGTCATATGAATATTTTTCAGTAGTAAAAAAAACTTCAATGTGAAAGAATTAACAATAGTATAACAGTTATAAATATACACGTTATAAAAATAGTAAATAGTAGTTATAACACTATTATTATGATAAATGAGAGAGTACAAATAGCAATATGTATAATTTACTAAAAAAACAGTTAATGATGGAACTAGTAGGAAAAAATAATACAAAAGAAAAAAAAACTTTTACAATACTATTATGAACAAAAACATTACATTAGGATAATATCACAGTAGTAGTTATAGCACTTAATTAGTGAAACTATTAACTGAAACAAAAATAACAGTAATAAATTCTCAAATTAGTAACAAAATATTTAATCTGAAGTAGATGTATGCCAGTCCCCGGCAACGACGCCAAAAATTTGACGAGGCCAGTGCGTATAGGATTTTCCTACTCGTGCTTTGTCAAATTCTAATATACTTTATGATATCGTCCCACAGATATTGGAACATCTATGCTACAAACTTTTAATACTTCAACTACTATTTGAGAGAATCAATTTGATGAAAAGTGAGTGAGGTTTAAAGCTTGTTAATTACTTAAATAAAAACCAAGAACTTTCGGAAGATTTATAATTTAAAAGAGTTGGGAATTGTTGAATTCACTTGATAACATATTACAATAAAATCTCAATTTTACATATATTTCTCTAAAGGATAATTGCTTATTGCTAATACAATTATATCTTATCTCACCAAGAATTAGTCAACTAATATCACGCCGTGAGGTTATGTAATTAATTGAGTTAAAACTAGTGACGGTTAAACCGAAATATTTTCTGGTCTGAATTGTGCTAAAAGATAGTAAAAACTTTGTGAGAATATTTTTACTAAATCAATACTCTTGCGACTACAATTCCACCGTGAGAATTAAAATTGAGGCAATCAAGATTACCGGCTTTTAATAATAGCTTACTAATAATTACTCTCACTTTACTATTTTATTCAATGGTTATTATATATTAATTTTGCTCTGTGAGAATTACAAAATTAATATGAGAATAACTTAAAGATAAAATATATAGAAGTGATAACAATANTAGTAATAAAAACAAATTTAGAACAAAGAACTTATGAAGGAATATTCTTCTTCTAAAAGAAAGACAACTAGTAGCAAATACAAAAGACAAAGAGAGAGACCAAAGATTAATTTTCTCCCGTCAAAACTCTATATCTTCTCTTCAAAATTCACACTCTGTTTATAGAGTTTTCTTGCCTAAGGTTCTCCATAGTTGCAACTATGAAAATTGTCGGTGCAGCTATGACTTTGCCAATTGAGTTTCATTCTGCAGAGGAAGAACCATAGTTTCAACTATAGTTTGCTAGTTGCAACTATGTAATTTGCTTCATGATTTTCAATTGCCATTGTCGCAACTATGGTGCTATATTTGCTTCTTCATTCCTGGTTGACTACTCAATTCTCACTCTTTTTTGCTTCTTTTCTTTAATATTTATACGCTCTTCCTTCTGCGAAATATGTTAGAAAATATGGGAGAACATGGTATATTTATTCATGTTTTATTTAAAATCTTTAATATTTAACATATAAAAATATATGAATAAATTATACCCATCACTGAGATATCTCAAAGGCACGCAGGACCTGGTGCTATATTATCCATCAGGTGACAGTTTTAATCTGATTGGGTATGCTGACGCAGACTATGCAGGTTGTCTTGTGGATAGAAAAAGCACTTCTGGGATGGCTCACTTCTTAGGATCATGTATTATCTCTTGGGGGACAAGGAAACAAAATTTAGTGGCTCTTTCAACAGCTGAAGCTGAATATGTAGCTGCAGCATCCTGCTGTGCTCAGCTTCTGTAGATCAAGCAGCAGTTGGAGGATTTTGGAGTTCTCACTGAGAGTGTGCCTCTCCTATGTGACAACACCGGTGCACTCAATATGGCAAAGAATCCAGTTCAACATAAAAGGACCAAACATATTGATATGAGGCATCATTTTCTGAGAGATAATATAGAAAAAGGGTTGATATGCATGAAATTCTGCAGAACAGAAGATCAAATTGCAGACATTTTCACCAAGGCATTGAGTAGAGAACAGTTTGAAAGAAACATAATAAAGCTGGGACTGTTGAAGCCAAATTAAGAACCTGATTCCTCTTTAGCTGGCTCGTATTCTTAAGAAATAATTAGTTCAAAGTGTTTTTTGGCCCTATCTAACTCACTTCAACACCGTTGCAGGTAGACACACATGATAAACATAGAAGCAATAGATGCAGTACGTGACTGATAAAAGAGGATTAATTCTTTTCAAAAAAGGGCTTGAAGAAAATGTTTTTTCAAGAACCAGGTTCTTGTACTAATGGTTAGTAGTTCTGTGCATCCTTTAATACACATCTTAAAAGGTACAAAATACAATTGCCATATCATCAACTTTTTAGATCCGGTTGTCACGTCCCTTCAATTCAAAACGTTCCATCTCCCTCTGAAATATCACAATTCTCCATGCCCAACCGTCATTTTAGAACCGATGCCTATTCTTCTCCCTTCATAATTATCCTCTCCATTTAAAAACCCCTCTCTTCTATCCTTATTAACCATAGGCCCTATTCTAGATTCACTCAAAAAGGAAAGGATCACCACACCACCTCTACCAATGGCTAAGAAAACATCTGATCTCTCTGCCTCAACTGTAACCACCTCTGACCCATATATGGAACCTCTCGCCTTCACTGAGTCTTTGTCACCCTCTATCACTCCTACTGCTACAATCACACCTTCCCTAGTTTCCCAACCTCTTCCCAACTCAGAAACCCTTGAAATTACTGTTCTGTTCTCTCCGTCGTCTGTTGCCCACACCAGTCAAACCCTAAGTGGAGAACAAGGTCAAAATATTGAGTTCACAAAAGGCTCCGCCATCGTTGCCATCCACTCCATGGTTGTGGAAGCACCGGTTGAAG